CCGGCGGAGTTTCGTCACTAAACATGGGTGAGCACTCACTCATGCTAGTGCATATTACTTGCATCACGCTACATTATTGTCTCCCTACTACACTCTACGCTTCTCTTCTCAAACCTTGCGTTCAATAAATCATACTTTTGGTGTGCAGGGCAACACAATATCAGTGGAAGATTTATTCATGCAAGCCATATATTTCATGGATACCTTATGCTGTCTCTTGTAGCAGAAACACATCTGAGGACAATAAGTCACCTTTCAGTCAACGAAGCATTTTTTTTTGTTGCATTGAACAATCTTTGCACTAAAAGCTATGCCCTATTTTACCACAGCTGACTTCAGGAATCTGCAGAAGGCAATTTAAGCCGTATATTAGACTTTCATTATGCTTTATTACTCTTAAAGTAACTCCAGCTAGTTAAAAGTTAAAGTTGCACTCTTAGAGATTTTATGTAAAAGTGCACCTAAATTACAAAGTTGAGAAGTAGTAAGAGTATGTCGCGTCCACTAATTGAAACACTGTAGATTCACACTGTATACCCAAGAAATGTCTTTTGCCTGATTAGGAGACTGCTGGGAAATCTTATCAAACTGAATGTGACATTACATGAACCAGGCATATTGAAAGCACTTCACACTTTTTTGAAATTCAAACCGGTTTTTCTTGCTGCCACTTGGGACCGCCAAAGTGTGTAGACAGCTAGTGTAGTTTTATCTTTGTTTTTAAGAAACACACACACAGATTCACCCAGTTAGAATTTCTCTTTGTGTAAATAAGAAAATAGAATAAATAACACACTACTTGTATAGTTTGTGGTAATGAAGTCAAATGTGTTCCTTGTGCTTTCCACAAAAATTTATATTTTGGATTCATTTTGAAAGTACAAATACAGCTCAAAAATATAAAAACTGTTCACCTTGATGTCTTTGCCCCGGTTGCTGTATAACCTTGTTTGCTAAAATGATAAGTAGCACACATATGAAGCATGTGACAGACCGCATCAGTTACCACAGTTACACAGTTACAACATACCTGCGTAGAACATTAATAAAGAAAACTCCAAACAAAATACGATTTACTATTCAGAGGGAGAGCTTTAGCAAATTGATCCATTTTTTCTGTACTTAAGTGACAGATCAATTTAGTCTGGTTACGCTTTGACTTCTACAAGCTCTGGCCTTCATCTTTCAGAAATGATGAGCATTTTTCATTATACTTTCCATCAGTGTAATTAACATTGACGAGCACTGAGATGTATCCTGCCTCTTTATGCTTGTTTGCACAAAACGCAAAGTGCTTCTCTTCCAAGAGGATGAACTGATGAAATACAAATGTAATACCTCTTGAAACACTGTGAAAATAAATGAAAACATGACCCTCGCTTTCAACTTTTAACATCCTGTAAACTTTCAGGCAATTACACAGCTTCCCACATTGCAAAGTAAGTGGGCGCAACAGCTGCAAAATAAACCTCTGCACCTCCCCACTGCAAGGCAAGGGTTCCCTCAACAGCTACACAGCCTTGCAGAACAGTCTGCCTAGAGTCCCTGATAGTCACTCCAATAAAAACAATTACTTTCTTGGGGGACATTTTGAACTTTATTAGACAGATCAAAGTATGAAGAGGCTGAAAGAGGGTGAATGACCCATGACAAATGTCTTAGGTCATAAGACATTGATCTCGCATATGTGACATCTTGGTATCGAGGTTGGTATGTGGGATTTAACACATGAAATTACGAGCTCATGTATGTTGAATTTTTAAATGTATATTATAAGGTCAGTGCTTATACTGATTGGATGTTTGATCATTTGGTGAAACAGTGAGTGCAAATGGACTTTGTAAAATCCTTATATTATCTTCTCACCTACAGATTTTTATATATTATGTAACTCTCATGATGATGTCTGAAGGGTCTGACCATTGTATATAATGTATGTGTGGGTGGAACTTGTTGTACTACATATTCACTCGACAAACCTCCAGCTCATGCTTTTTTTGTAATTCAACAGACACAGTTTCTCCATATTTCCATTTAAATCACCCAGTGAAGTTAAAATTTAAATAGAGATCAATTAGTTAGACACATACTAAATTGTTTAGACATCGTATAGTAAATATTTAACTATAATTTTCTGGTGAGGT